GTCCCGTTAGCCATCTTTTTCTGCGCACTTGTTTGTGGTGAGCTACGGTTTCAGACGGTCATTGAAGCTCACCTTTCTCACCGCGGTTCTTTGAAAATGGCCGAGGGTCGGAAGAGGAAAAATGTCTACGAAATGTATGAGAAGAAAAGAAACGCCTCAGAAGAGGCAGATATATCCCAGAATGCTTTGCGCAGAGGACTCCCCTCACAAAGCATTCTGGGATATATCTGCATTCTCGGATTTGCTGTCACAGCGGCCCGCTGTCGCCATAGGCTGTCGCTACCCGACAGCACCGACTAAAAACAAAGATGGCGCAGGCGCCGCGCAGTGGAGGAGGAGTTACGTGACCAACAGGAACAAAAAAGTAGTGATCATCTATTTGCACCTTGTGAAGTTAGAAAGCTAAAGGGGGGGGGGCATTTGTTCTAAGAAATAAGGTTCAGATTTATTTATCTTCCTCTGACGTAGAGATAGAACTCTCTGACTGCAGCATTTCATTAGATACATTTATACCGTACAAAATCACACACTCTCCCCCCACAGGGGAACCAACCCACCCCCTGCATAAAGAACTTTCTCACACTTGAAAATTTGGTTATTTCCAAGAAAAAACAAAACACATATTAGCCAGATAAACACTCAGAACATTAAGGAAGCTGTGTGAACTCATTTTGATCTCTCATGAACCTCTCTTCACCCTTGTTTAGAGTAGGGAGGCAACTGCTTTCCGTCATCCCCACTCCAGACTTCTGGACCCCTATTTATGCAGAGGGGCACTGACTTTTTATTTATTTATTTTTCTGCTCTCACAGCGGAGTTTAGAGAAGAGAACTTTCCGAATTAAGCCTGTCACTTCGCAAAAATGAGGCCAAGTCGCCACCGTTTACCGTTACAGAAATGAACATCCAGCTCTTTCTGGCCATGATATTCACACCTCACAGGATCATCACCATCAGAGGATGGGCCCAGATAGAAATGATAAACACAGGCATGTATGCATGTAGAGGAGTTTTTACAGTTACATGTTTCAAGTTTTCAGTTTTATTAAGTTCATGTTTGCTGACAGATATTTAATAAAGATAAATTGTGACTTCCTCAGTAGTGGATTAGAGATATACAGTAAAGTTCACCAGTGGGTCAATTCAATTCAGTTTGGTTCAGGTAGATATTTAACGATGCAGAAAATAATGATCTGATTGTACAATTTATAACGCTTTATAATAATAAATAAGTGCTATAAAATATTTGCTCATGTGCTTGCATTAATTATCTGTCCCTGCATAGTATTGGGTCAGCTGACGCCAAAAACCCCAGAAACACAAAGGGACCCCCAGAGCAAAGGTGCCCTAGAGGAGAGACGGCCCTGAGGAAATCCCCCGGCCGCACGCCATGCTGAAGCCCCCAGGATCCGCGGGGACGAGCCCATGGGCTCCGCTGGCAGCCAGCCACCCCGAAGTGGAACCGGCCATGGGCCCCGAGCATCCACCCCCAAACACCAAGCACCTCGGGGCTTCGGTCAGCGCCAGCCGGTGGAGGGGGTCAGGATGGGGGAATGGGTTTCTTATTTTTACTATTCAGCTGCATGTTTCCTGTTAAATAATTCATAATATACAGACTCTAACAGGAAGTGCAAACAGTTCCTGTAGGAACTAAAGAGAAGAGGAACTGATAAACAGCTCTGACAACAGATAAACAACCAGTTCATTCTGCTGGTTGTATGAAAACAGCCTCTATAGAGGAGCTGAAACCCATCGTTCCACTTCAGGAACCAGAGAAACACGAAGCTTCTGCTTCTCTCCAGGTCTGCACACCGAAACCCTCAGAGGAAATATACTTCAATACGTTTCATTAAACAGGTTTAAACAATTCAAGAGAAAAAAATTGGACTTTGTTGGATATTTTTCTCTTTGTTCTACTTCTTCTAAAAAATATGGATCCGACTGAGCAGAACACACAACACTGCTGTGTTCAGGTTACAATCCAGCTTCCTTTCTTTCCTTTAGAGGATGTTAATGCTACACAGCTAAAGCTTTCCATAAGGAACCAGGTGGTTCTACCTGCTGATGAATGGCTGTTCTTTCTGAGGGATCAAAGGTCATGGCGGTCCAGCTCAGATTGCTCTATGAGATTCCTCCAGATCCCTTGGATGGCATAATAACGCTCAGAGAGGAGAACATATTCAAACGCATTCTAAATATCTTGTAAAACTCTAATTGTTGGAATAATTATGTATAAGATACTTAATGTTTGTTCTTAATAATATGTGACATCTTACTGTTCCAGAGAGGTGTTGCACAAGCAGTATAGGTCAACTATCAGGAAGTATTGCTCAAGCTTAACGAAACCAGGAGGTTCTCGGAACATCTGACCTAAAGACATTGACCTGTTCACTGAGGCTGAATATTGAATTGTATTTCTTGTTCCCTATTCTTTTGCGCAACCTCAGCTTGTGTAACTAGGGACCCCCCCTCTGACTTTAATAAATAGCGAAGAGAAAGCTGAAGACCGGCAGAGTGGGGTGGAGATCTTTAAAGTCTCTTCCTGCTCTCCTCGCGAGTAAAACTAAATTAATTGTCTCTGTCTTTCTTTCCCTATATGTATGCATGATGTTTCAGGTGCTTAGACCTGACACTAATCATCAGTATAAACAAGGCAGCAAACTGAAATATCAAAGGGAACGGAAGATAAATCAGTGCACCAGCCTCCCTAGTGACGATCTCCATCTCCTGGATCCTAAAGTCTTTCCAGTCCAGAAGGAATCCGTCTAAAGTCCTCTGGATCTGTGGTAGCCTCTTCAAATGGGACATCCTTGATGTAGAAATGCTCATTACCTCACATGAAGCTCTGCCTGAGGAATCTCTCCATGATGGAGAAGATTTTCTATTCTGCTGAACAACCAGCTGAGACATCTGACCTAAATATCTCCAATCTGGAAATAAATTACTCAAAGGGAGATAAAAGGTGAAAGTGTGGAGAGGCTGAAATGTTCCAGTTGAACAGAAGCGATGCGGAGTCAGCATCCTGCTGTATACGCCTGCTCAGACCTCTCTGATATCCTTTCAGCTCTTCCGTATTTCTAGTAATTTATCCTACCTTAATGTATGCAAATACCACCACACAATGGTTGAGCACACCTGCTTCCAGATGTTCACCTGACCGTGACAGGTTCCTCATTGCAACAAGAGGAAACATCTGATCTTCCCTCATTCATGTCCTGGAAATTTCCCGTATTCTGTGATTTTCCTCTCTTCATTTCTAACCGCCATCTTTCAGTTTTTTCTTGCACAAAAAATAAAAGATGTGTTTTTTTATGGTTAATATTCAGTGAAATTTACAGATTATCCTAATTTTTACTCAAATTAAGGGTATTTACCCTTAATTTGAGTAAAAATAAGATAATCTGCCAACAGAATCAGGATGTCTACTCTTAAAACTCTTAGATAATCAGAACTTGAAACTAGACACATTTCTTATTTTTTTTTATTTGACCTGTAAATTGTCTTTTTCCATTGTCAAAGTTTCTCACTTACCTCCTCAATACAAGAAAAAATGCACTTATTTTAAGAATAAATGACTTATTGAGATCTACTTTTTTGCTTTGTTGGATTAAAGTGGGAAATTATCAGATTATCTCTGGACTAAATCCAGACTATGACACAGTGACCTGATTTAGCCTAAAAACCAACGTCTAAATGACGTCTGGTTTTATTGGGGATAGTTTGTTTTTCTTTTTAAGTATATATTTTTAAACCAAAACTTAAAATCAAATATTTTATTTTACAAAATTATCATTAAGTAAATGTGT